CAATAAAGAGGAATGGGCCACTGGCACACACAATGATGAGGATGAAGCTCAAGGACATGATGCTGAAGGACAAAGCCAGCCTCAGAGGGTCACCTACTGTGTGTGACTCCATGCATATGACATTCTCGAAAGACAAAACCATAGCGGCAGAGAGCAGAGCTGTAGTTGCCAAGTGCTAGAGGTGGGGAGTTGGTGACAGCAGGAGAGGGTGTTTGAGATGATGGAAACGCCCTCATTGTGGTGGTGATGGTAGCAGTGGCATGAATCTATACAGGTGTTAAAAGTCATAGAACTGTACAGCAAAACAAAGGTAACTTTACCATATGACAATTTAAAAAAATAAAATCAATTAAAAGAACAAGTCAAACCATGTAACCTCCTTGCTCAAGACCTCCACCTTAGAATGGAATCTGAACTTCTCCCCATGGCCCATGAGTCCCCCCAGAGCTGGCTTTGGGCACCTCTCTTCTTTCTAACGCCCTTCCCATGCCTCTCTACTGACTGTGAGGCTAACCTGCTATTCCTTCTGCCTGGAACTCTTTTCCCAATATTTCCAAAACCCACTCCCAAACTTCACGGCTCTGTTAAAATATTAACTCCTCTGAGAGACCTTCTCTAACTGACTTTTCTATTAATATAATGGCATCTTTCTATGCCCTTATACTGTTTCATTTTTCTGTCTGGCACCAACAAAACCCCACCACCAAGATTCTGCCTATCACAGGATTAGAACTCTGTAGGTGTTTGTTGAATGGATGAATGAGTTAACCCAAGACATGAACAATCAATAATGAAATTCCCAATGCTTTGAACTTAGAGCCACACTTTGGCTCAAAAATTTATTTGTATCAACCCTCAAATCACCAGCTCACTTGGCCCCTGAGTAAAGCAGTCCCAGTCCCAAATATTTAACTCAGCTATTGGTGCTTTAAAAATGTATCAAGTTCAACATCTTCCTTCTAAGTACAACTTTCTGGTGCTTGATTAGAAAACTAGCATGAGGGTGAAGTAGGAGGACCAAGGCTTTCAGGCACAGCATTCTTAGAATGATGCCATGTGAGGTTCCCTGAGGGCTTGTAGAAAGCCATCTAGAAGTGCCACTAATGTGAGCAAAGAAATTTGAGGAGAGGTTGAAGAAAGTAAAAAACAACACCTCTCTACAACACCTTTTCAAGGAGAATGAATAAATTAGCATCTACAGAACACCTACTCCATAGGTTCTAGGCACTCGGAAGATTCTCATTTGATCCTCCCACCCACCCTTCAAGGCCAGTCCTATTAGTCTCATTTTCACACATAAACAAACTGAACACAGAGAGGTTAAGTAACATCCTCAGTGTCACACAGTGATAAGTAATGTCTGACACTTTGAACTCAGGTCTGCATTGCCTCTAATCTCGTTCTTTTTCCACTTTGAATTTGAGAAGCGACATTCAGGGACATGAGAGTGAGCACCATCCAGAGGAGCCAGGCGGAACATGCCAACCTCAAATAGGAAAAGCCAACCTGGACACAGGTGACCAGGCTCTTCTCTAAAACTTTTCCAAGACCAGCATGGACATGTCTGCTGAAGCAAGATGCCAATTATCTTCCAGCAAATATGTAGTGAACACCCACTCCGTAACAACAGTGCCTAGGCGGGGGGTTTCTCATATATTATCTAATTTAATTGTCATTATCATTTGAAAGATCATTAACATGTATACAAGTATTAGAGACTGTTTATCCAAACAGAGTGACATAAATCCTGTAAGCAAACAACAACACCTGTGCATTCCCTCTCCTTCCCCCACACCAGCTAGAGATACGACAGCTATCTTAAAGACAGAACAGCACGAACATGCAGACAACTGCATATAGACCTTCCTTTCCTACTTTTTTGAGTGTATGCCAGTGTTCTGCACACTGGCTAGCGTAGGAATTACTGTTCGGGGTTGCAACACAGAAACCATCTATCATTCATTTAATGCAATTTTGGCCAGGTGCGGTAGCTCACACCTGTAATCCTAGCGCTTGCAGAGGACAAGAGGCAGAAGGATCGCTTGAGCTCAGGAGTTTGAGACCAGCCTGAGCAAAAGTGAGACCCCATTTCTAATAAAAACAGAAAAATTAGTTGGGCATCATGGCACCGCCCATAATCCCAGCTACTCAGGAGGCTGAGGCAGGAGGCTAGCTTGAGCCCAGGAGTTTGAGGTTGCTGTGAGCTATAATGACACCACGGCACTCTACCCAGAGCTCTGTCTCAAAAAAAAAAAAAAACCACAATTTTTGATGATCAAAAGATTGTTGAGAGTATTTTTGGCTATACGTGACTTTCATTCTATACTATGGCTTTGGAACCTAAACAATGAGTAAGATGTAGCTCAGCTGTGCCCCCAGCTTCCTCTCACTTGCTGCTGCTTGATAGACATCAAGAAATCTTAGATCTAGAAAGGAAGTCAGAGACTGCGAAGCTTCACTCCTTGCCAGGGACGATGGAAGGCGGAGGCTGCCCCCCGGACAGCTCCCCCATCAGCACACTCTTCCTCATCTGCTCTCTCCTCCTCTCCACCTTCCACCCACTGTGGCTAGCTCTGCCCTCCTGCCCTGCAGAATAATTACAACCCGCCTTTCCTATGATAATCATTTGAATATTTGAAGCCTGTTATTAGGATGATACTTTCTTAATGTTACAATGATTATGAAAATGGTCAAACAGCTGCACTCTGCTATTTTTTTAATAACTACTTGATGGTTTTTGTTTCTAGGTGTGTATCTCTGCTCATCCAAGACAATGACGCCCACCTCCCCAATAGGCAGCTTCACCAATTTAATTAAGTCCAACATTTTGGGAGCTGTGCCCTGGAAACATGCAGCTTAGTTGGGAAGACAAAGAACAGAAACCACATGTCAGGTGGCAGGGGCTCTTACAGAGGCAGAGAGCGGGGGCCAGCCACGGGCAGAGGGGCAGGGTCAGAGTCCCAGTCCATCCACTGGGACGAATGCTGATCTGTGAGCCAGACCCCCGCCCCCCCCCATGGGACACAGCCTGCATCTTGGGTGTCCTCAAGAAAGTGACCAGGTCTCACTTGCTCACAGCCCTGCAAGTCTCAGTCTCCTGTCACAATGCCGAGCAGACGAGGTGCTCTGTGAGTCTACTCCAGTCTTTTGGCCCTGAAAAAGGGCCTGGACGTGAGAATAACTAAATTCAGCTTACCCCAAAGGTCTCAAATGAAGGTTTTAAAAAAAAAACCAAAAAACCTTATTTATACTTGGTCTCCATTTCCTGCCATCTGTCAGCTCACCAAGTGACATGAAAGAAATCATCTAACTTCTCTGGAGCTCCTCCGTTTTCTCAGCTATAAATTGAGGGGCCTGATCTCAAGGACTGCAGGGTCCTTTTCAGACCCGGGGCCCTCTAATTGTCTGTGGTCCCAGACCGCAAGTGGATAATCCACAATAACCCGGCTGAGCCAGCCTAGCTCCAAATCAGTGCATAAGTTCCAGTACAAAGAAGGGCACACAAGGAAACAAAGGCAGACAAAGATTCCAGCTCCAGCCCGGGATTATCCTGCCATGTACTGCCACCCCAGTATCTCTACCCGGCACAGGTTGAAATACCAGCCTTGACATCCGCCAAGCACACGATCTTGGGCAAGTCACTCAACCCCCATTAGCCTCGACTTTCACATCTGTAGAATGCACTTAATTCCACCCACTTCCAGGGCATTGGGAGGATGGAATGGGTTAAATCCTGTGTACGGCACCCAGCGGACATGTGCTGTGTACCCCACTATTCAAGCATTCTTTATCCACTGAACTCGATCAACAGACTCAGATTCCAAAGGTTTATCTCAACCCAAAGCACAGATGGCCAGAGCTAGAAGGGCTCTAAAAATCATCAAGTCCAGCTCCCTCCTGTCTCTGTGACTTACAACTGTGGGAACTGAACTGAGGCTCAGAAAGGCTCAGGGACTCACCCAACAACCTGCATCAGTACAGCCTGGCCTAGAACCAGGGTGTAGACACCAAAGATCACACAAGACACAAAGAGAAGCCTATGCAGGCTCTACTCTCTGGAATTGGAACCCCCTCCCGCCCACTTATATCCTGAAAAATAAAAAGGGGAACTTTTTATTTATGTATTTTTTGGAGTGTTGCAAAAAAGAGGCAGCATCATAGTAAGTCTATGAAAGGTGGGGATTTCTTGAATTATCTATGGAATGAAGGTCAGAGTTTCTTCAGCTCCCCTGGGTTACCCCTCCCATCCCCATGCCTGTCCTTTTCAATCTATGTCTTGAGGCACACTATGTGGACCCTTTCTGGACAAGGTGAGAAGTTTTAGGCTGGGGCAATAATCCATGCCCCATTAAACACACACACATAAAACCTGTCCCAATCACACTACCCACAATACAAGAATTCCTCTCCTCACCCTTAAGAGCCCCAGCCTGGGGCACCTAGGAAAGTACTCAAATTCATTAAGCCACACTGATCACTCAAGGGTCAGGGACCTAAAACGACACGATCAAAATCCCTGCCACTTAGGAGTTTCTGTAGAAACCTCAGCCCAGAGTCTACCCAGGGCCACCCGGCCGAGCTGAAGCAGCGAAGAGGGAGTTCAGACAATATAAGGAGGGACCCAGGTTACAGCTGGCTACAGAGATATGGCACTAACCTGAACAGCTCCCCTCTGGCCCAGATTCCCAAAGGAAAGCACGTATCTTCAGGGATTGGACAGAAAGCCAGGCTACCAGCGTGCTTCTTTATAGCTCCTGGTGAGTACGCTCTGCTGGCATCTGCCAGGATCTGGATTAAGAGGGCCCTAATCCAAGCCTCACATCATGCATTTTACCAAACAGACCCAGAGAGGGAGATGGCCCTGCCCAAGCTCACCCGGCAAGCCAGTGGCAACCGCTGGATGGAGCTTGTGCCTGACCTTTCGTCTAGGGCTGTTCCCCCCCCTGCCCCAAGCCTCTTCCCCGTCAGGCCCACTCCCTCTCTCAAAACCTTGGGCTCACCTCCTGGTTCTGAGGATTCTGCCAGGTTCAACAATGCTCAGAAGCAGGTGGCAGTTTATCAATTCATTCAGAGGGACCTGGGGCTGTGCCCGTCCCGATGGCAAGGAGAGACTGCAGCGAGAGACTGCAGCATGGAACTTTGAGAGGGCTCTCTCTTCTCTTAAGAATCCTCCTCCTTCTCCTCCTCTTCCACCTCCGCCTCCTCTTCCTCCTCCTTCTCCTCCTCCGTAGTACTACGGAGACATGTGCTCTGCTTGGGGGGAGGTAAGGAGGAGAGCGAGGCTGTTTATTGGAAGAAGGGCAACAGTCTGCTGGGCTCTGCTATATACTCACACCTAGCATAAGGGGAACTGGAAAAAAAAGGGAGAGAGTGAGCTCTGTCTGCTGCCACAAATTATTAACCCTTGTCTTCCAGCTCTGGTACAGCTGAAGCAAGAGAAACAATACACTTAACCAATGGAGTGCCAGCCAAAGACATTACATCATCAGTCAGCACCGTCATTGGCTAATAATTCCTAGAAGGCAAAATTCTGCTTCTAGGTGCTTAACCCTTTCATGCTCATCTGAGCAAAGAGTATTAGGTCTAAACCAATGGTTCCTGGACTTGCTTTTATCAGAATCATCTGGGCTGCTTTCTAAACACGCAGATTGCCATGCTCCATCTCAAACCATCTACATCTGAATCTTGAGAGGCAGCATGGATATCCGCATTTTAAATAGTGTACAGAGTGTGGGCCCAGAGGTTTACTCAGAAATTCTTCTTCTCCAAACAAGATAACATTTTTCTGAGCCCTTATAATGTGCCCAGCACTTTGCTGTATCATCTCACTGATTTCCTACAGTGAGCAGTGGACATTATTGACCCATTTCATAAGTATAAAAAAGTAAAGTTCAGAGAGGCTAAGTCACGTGCTCAAGAGATGGAACCTTGCTTTGAAAACCAGGCTGTTTGGACCCTACCTTGCCACCCCTTTGAAGCTCCCACTTGAAGTCAAACCAAGCCATCTGTTTACTTATTGCTTCCAGGGTTACAGACATTATAGATTCTTTTGATGAGGTGGAAAATGCCAGCAACCTGTGAGGAACTGGGAGATGAAGACAATGGTGGATCTTTCTCTTTCTCAGGCTCATTCCTTTTGCTTCTGCTGCAAGTCTTGGCTTAACCCCCACTTTCACTAGGAAGCCTCCCTCCACCCCCAAACCTGGGATAGATGCCCCTGCTCTGTGGTCTTACGGTCCCCTGTATCTGTGGGCTGCAGCTGCTTGTTTACTGGGGAACCTCCATGAGATTAGAGCCACGCCTACCTTCTCCACTAACATATGCCCAGACAGTCAATGCCGCCCATGAATACTCAATCATGACTGAAAGAAGGGAGGGAGGGAAGGTGTCTGCAGAAGTTCTAATGGCATCATGCGAGATGGGAAGGACAAAGGACTGGAAGCCTGGAGACCCACATGAACAAACCGCCTGATCTTGGGCAAGTTCATTTTGGGGGAGCTCCTGGAGTCCTCATGTGAACATGAGGACAATAGCACCCTCCTATGAGCAGTTATGAAGCTCCAACTGGAGAATGATCCAGGCTCTGATTTTCTCCACTATCCATTTTCTGGCTGACATCTATGTGTGACAACTGCCATATTTATATCTCAGCCCAGACTTTCCTCCTGGACTGCAGACTCAGCCAGTGCCTCTCTGTCTGTGAATGTCTCCAAGAGCATCTCCAAGAGAGTATTTGAATTTTATGCCCTAAGCACAACCTGCCCCTTGCCCAGCCTCCTCCACTATTTCAATGGTGCTCTCATCACCCTACTTTTTTAAAATTTAGGTGAAATTTACATGACACAAAGGTAACCATTTTAAGGTGCAGTGGCATTTAGTACATGCACAACAAAACTACCGCCTCTATCTACTTTCAAAACATTTTCATTCCTGGCTGGGCCCAGTGGCTCACACCTAGCACTCTGGGAGTCTGAGGCAGGAGGATTCCTTGAGGTCAGGATTTTGAGATCAGCCTGAGCAAGAGTGAGACCCCATCTCTATGAAAAATAGAAAAAATTAGCTGGGCATGGTGTTGCGCACCTATAGTCCCAGCTAGTCAGGAGGCTGAGGCAGAAGGATTGCTTGAACCCAGGAGTTTGAAGTTGCTGTGAGCTAAGCTGATGCCACGGCACTTTAGCCTGGGCAAAAGAGCAAGACTCTGTCTGAAAAAAAATTTCATTCCCCAAAAGGAAACCACTCAGCCATTAAGCAGTCAGGCCCCATTCTCCCTTACCCTCAGCCCAGGGCTCTACAGATTTACATATTCTGGATATTTCATATAAAGGGAATCACATAATATATGACCTTTTGTGTCTGGCTTTTTCACATATTTCCACATAATGTTTTTAAGGTTTGTACACATTGCAGCATGCATTAGTACTTCATTCCTTTTTATGGCTGATTAGTATTCCATTGTATGTATATATCACATTTTGTTTATCCACTCACCTGCTGATAGACATGTGGTATCCAACCAATCTTAAACCATAAGCCTGGCCGTCGTCCTTGATCCCACCTGTCCTGTACTCCCCACATCTAATATATCAGCAAGTCTTGTCCATTTTGCATCCTAATATAGCTCAAATCCTACATATCTCCAACACCATTGCTATCCTCTAGTCCAGACACCAGTATCTCACTCACCCAACTTCTACTTGGTGACAAGACCCCCATTCTTTCTTCTAATTCATTTTCACCTGGTAGCTGGTGGGATCCTTTGAAATCATAAACCAGATCATGCATTCATTTAAGCAATGCTTACTGAGCACCTTTCTTCAGGGAGCTTGCCTCCTGGGAGCATGATAGATAACAAACAAATATATACTATTATATCAGGTCATTACTAGGCTTAAAATTCTTGATTGATTCATTGCACATTGGATGAAATCCAAGCTCAGCATGGCCTCCATGGCCCCATGTATTTCAAACTCATCTCAAGCCACTCTGCAACTTGCCCATTCTGCTCCCATCATGATGGGCTCCATTTCCCCACCTCATGGTCCCTGAACAAGCTGCTCTCTCTGCCCTTGATCTTGGCATTACTGAATCTTTCCCATCCCCCGGGTCTCAGTGTAACTATTACCCTCCCGAGGGACCTTCCCTGATTATCCTGTTAAGCACATCCACCCTTCATTCATTTCAGTCAGTCAAGAAATATGTGCTAAATACCGCACTGGGCTCTTGAAATAAAGACTCCCCTGGAGTCTGTGGTCTAGCAGAGAGGACCAACAACAGGGAAGTGACTAAAATAGATAAACAAGTGCTCTGAAGGGAGAAAACATGGGAGGGCCCCTACTTTACACAAAATGGTCTGAAAGGCCTTTCCAGGGAAGTTATATCGAAACTGAAGGATAAGGAATCAACTGGGGAAAGGGCCTGCTGTTCTCTGTCACATCCTGGCTATGCAGTGCCATGTTCCATCCTTCAATGTTTGCTTTTGACGAATCCAAGTATTTAATGTTTGTCTTTGTCTCCCACAACGGACTGAGCTGTGTCCCCAGCACCTAGGACAGCGCCTACTCTCCCAGAGGCACTCAATACACATTGATTGAATTCTTAAGTGGATGAATGAATGAGTGATTAACCAATCAATCCATCAATGCAATCACTTTGGAAAGTGTAACAAATCAGAGTTGCAAGTGATTGTTATTATTGCTTTATGGCAAAAAGACATCAACTCTATTGGATTTTGGAAAACACTGGGTTGGCTGTAAAATGAGAAAAAAGTACCTAAATTAGAGTATTACTGGACAGCTAGGAGAGAATGAACATGCCTAATAGGCCTCAATTATGGGAAGCAGTAGTCATTGCAGCTGTTATTATTAAAAGCTCCTCATAAAAGCTGAGTCAACTCAAACTCCACAATTTATTTTCAGGTGCAGTCAAGAAATTTAAAAATGGGAGAGACAACACTTTTTCAGTGTCGTGCTAGGCACCGGGCACAGTACAAAACACCATCTCGTTTGCTTCCCAAGCCACACAGTGAGGCAAAAGAATGGATGCTGTGAGACAACTCTCAACTCCCCCAGAACCAAACCACTCACCACTTCCCTATGCCCAGCTGCTGGGGATGTGGGCTGCAAACAGCTTACAGCTGAGTCCCTATTTGGGAACTGTCCCACTGAAGGAATGCCCGAAGTTATACCCCTCACTGGGGCCAGCCTGCACCCACTGGCTGGTCAAAATGGGGCTTCAAAGGCCTGCCCCCGGCCTCGGGGGATGGACTGACTCCTCTCTTATTCTACATCACAGATCAACATCTCCCTATGCCCGGTCCAGCTTCCCTCACTGTGCACTCCCTTGGGAAGTGAGACCACTCCCCAAGAATCTTCCTGCACACAATCTCAGAACCTCCAGGGTCTTTTTCCAAGGAACTTGACCTGTGACAGGTGAGTATGATGATTCCCTTTGAAATCAGAAAACAGAGGTTCAGAAAGATTGAGAATGTCCCCAAGACCCACAGCTAAAGTAACTTTCCAGTCTCGCTTCCCAGCAAGCCCTTGTTCTTTCTACTACGCCAGTCTACACACAGCCCTGCCTCCAATAGCTGGGACTGAACTTCTGCGAGACAGAAAAGGGAGCCCAGGGAAAAAGGAGGCCCACCCAGAGGGTCTGAAGATGAGAAAAGAAGAGCAGAGCCTCCCTTCACAATCCTCCCAGGCCATCTCTAAGGATAAGATCGTGGTCATAGGCTGCAGAAAAAATATACAAATGACATGTAGGTTGCAGAAGCAAGCCGCACACGGGCAGCATCTCGCCGCCTGAATCCACGCCCAGAAGCCAGGGAGCAGGGCTCTTGGGCAGAGGGGGCTGCCTTAAGGGGCCAGAGTGTTTGCACCCAAGTCCCAAAAAGTAACTACAACTCACCAGCTTTCTGGCGCTCGGGCTTCCATCCAACCGTCCCCACAGCCGCCAGAGTGACCCGATCCCTGATCAGAGTTCTTCCATTGCCCTCCTTCATCCCAGGACAAAACTGCAAATATTCTGAGGCTGCATTTTAAGGTCTGAGCGCGTTTTAGCTCCCCGTCACATCACATGGACAGCTCACTTCCTACCACAACAAGACCTGGTCTTACTCCATTATCTGATGTAAAATTATCTCATGTCTAGGTCAGGACACTGGACTGTTTTCAGTTCTTTTACCTCCACGCAAGAAAAATCTACCTGGCATTCTTGCTATCCCATCAACAACCGTCCCCTCCCTGACTCCCTCCCCCTCTCAACACGCACAGTTTCAGCCTGGCCAACCCTCCTACTCCTCCAAGTCCCCACTCAGTGGTCACCTCCTCGCTGAAGCAAGCCTTCCTGGCTCCTTCGCCGAGCTGCTCGCCACCTCGTGTCCTCCGCACTACCCTGCACTGCAATTGTTCCTCCTACGGTCCCTCTCAGCCCCGTGGGCTCCCGCAAAGCCCTTCTTCGTGCCGCCAGCCAGGGCTTAGTACAGTGTCTGGAGTAGGAGCCAAGTAAGTGCAGAACA